ATACATATTTTCCACTTTCCCCCCAAGAATGTTAGCCTTGCCAAACTCTGAAACAACTTTCTGGGTCACAATTTCCCCTTTTCTTGAACAATAACTCAGATTACGATTAGGACTGCTTTATTATACCTTGCTTTAGACTCATGAAATCCAACAAGTCTGCCTTTATTTTGCTCCACATAGTTCTCTCTCAGGCCCAGGCAGAAGAGTTCCTGATGAGATGTTTAATTGGTAACATGACTCACAGTCACAATGCTCACTACAGAAAACACTTTATCATTTTCTGTGATGTGAACAGATTGAGAATTTTCCAAATCCTGAAATATCAACTCCTGTTAGTTTGACAATCCCTTCTATTTCTTTCTCCCTGCTCATATTTTACTAGGCAGCAGGAGAAATCAGGCCACATTTTCATCATTATGTGTGGAAATCACATCTGAAAATTCAGCACTTAAATCATTTACAGATTCCACAAAAGACTACAATATAATTCAGCAAAGTTATATGGCAAGAATTCTAAGTCAGTGATCTTACCAGCATTAATTCAACATCTACATTTTCACCATAGTCTCTGAAGCAATTCTGCCTTTTTCTAACACACACCTCAAAACTCTTCTAACCTCTACATAGTACCAAGTTCCAAGCAACATCCACATTTTGCAGATGCCATCCCACCCTTAATACCAAAATTGCCATTAGTTTGCTAAGGCCAACATAGGAAAACATATCACACAATAGGTGTCTCACCCAATGGAACTTCTCTTTCTCATAGTTCTGAAAGCTGGAAGTCCCAAAAAAAGTTGTCAGCAAGTCTGGTTTCTACTGAAGCCTCACTCCATGGCTTGTGGATGACTGCAGTATCTCTGCATCTTCACAAGACCTAGTCTCCATGCATGCAACTACTAGGATCCTCTCCCTCTTCAAAGGCCACACCCTTTTTAACCTTTATTACCTCTTTGAATGTGTTTTCTATGAGGAAGACATTGTGGCAAAGCATATTAGGTGCCACCTGTGATGCCGACATCCCATACAAGTACCAGTTTGAGTCCCGATGTACCACTTCCAATACACCTACCTGATAATTTGTCTAGGAAAGCAACAAAGCACAAGTGCTTGGGTCCCTGAATCCATGATGGGGACATGGATAGAGCACCGGCCTCCTGGCTTTCGTCTGGCCCCATATATCCATTGAAGTCGTTTGGCTAGTGAACTAGTTGAACTAGTTGATGGAAGACAGCCATCTTTTTATTTATTTAAATTTGTTTTGATAGTTATCTCTTATCTCTAGGCTCTTGGCATCAGCCTGGTCCAAACTTAGCTGGGCAGCTGTCTGGAGAGTGAATCAGCAGATGGAAGACATCTCTGTGTGTATGTCTCTCCCTCCCCACCCCCTCTCTCTGTAACTGTGTCTTTATCAAATACTTTCTCTGCATCTATTGAGATAATCATATGGTTTTTGTTCCTCAGTTTGTTAATGTGATGTATCACATTGATTGATTTGTGAATGTTGAATCATGAATCATCCTTGCATTCCGGGGATAAATCCCACTTGGTCTGGGTGAATGATCTTTCTGATGTGTTGTTGGATTAGATTGGCTAATATTTTGTTGAGTGTTTTTGCATCTATGCTCATCAGGGATATTGGTTTATAGTTCTCTTTCTCTGTTGCATCTTCTTCAGGTTTAGGTATTAAAGTGATGCACACTTCATAGAAGGAGTTTGGGAGGATTCCCTCCCTTTTAATTGTTTTGAATAGCTTGAGAAGAACTGGAATTAGTTCTTTAAATGTCTGATAGAATTCAGCAGTTAAGCCATCTAGTCCTGGGTTTTTCTTTGTTTGGAGTGTCTTTATTACAGATTCAATTTCACTTTCAGTCTGTGTATATCTTTGTTGGTGATGTGTGTTTCTTGTAAGCAGCAAATAAATGGGTCTTGTTTTATAATCCATTCAGCCAGTCTGTATCTTTTACCTCAAGAATTAAGGCCACTTACATTCAAAGTGATTACTGATAAGTAACAACTTGGTCCTGTCATTTTTCCATAGAAATTTCTATTGCTTACTTCAGATTTCTTTTGTACTTCTACTGGGAGATTTTCTGCCTTCATATTCTTTCATAGTGATGGCTATCTTTCCGTGTTTTTGTGTGTAGCACATCCTTAAGCATCTTTTGTAAGGCTAGATGAATGGTAACAATTCTTTCAATTTATGTTTGTTACTACTTGCTGATTAGAAAAGTAGAGAAACTGTGGGACTACACTTCACTGCCTGGAACACACACAGAAGGCAAATTTCTAGAAACAAATGGGCACCACTGATGGACTGGTGGCCAGATACTGGTGGCAGTATCATGTTTTGTTGCCGAATGCTAAAACACTGCAGTCATCACTCTGAATCCCTGTCAAGACTCTAAACCCTGCCACATTGCTGCCAGTCTCACAGGACCCCCTAGAACATGATTGTTCTGGAGTAATCTTGCGATCAAGGTTGAAAAATCTCAGAAATGAACCTGTACCTTACACAGAAAAAAATATCATTTGTAGGTGATAGCCATTTTATGGTAAATGATCAGCAAGGATAGGATACACAATCGTGTTCTCACATGGAACTCTTGAAGCTAAGAGTCTCCCTCCAGGGACATCAGGACAACAGGCAGAAACAATGTCCACAACCAGGACACTGGCACAGGAGACTTTAACAGTCAGTAAGTACTGCATGTATGCCTTCTCAGGGGTCCATGCACACAGGGCTATCTGGAAAGAAGGCTCCTAACTGCTAGCAACAAAAATAACTACAATAAATTCTCAGTCTGCTACATCGTGGAGAAAAACCTAAAGAAACAGATGTTGTACAATGCAGAGGACACCCAAAGTGAGATTCTGAGTAGTAAGAGGGAACAACCTAGGTGATGTTTTTAGAAAATGGGCAGCTCTGGCAGAGGAGACTCTCCAGTTACTTCTGCTTCCTTCCCTGCTCCTTTGGAAGTATGAGCCTAAGTACTGTCAGGCAGGCTCAAAGGAGCCAAGGACAATGTTTTCAAAGGACCACTTTCTCAGGTAGGGTGGACACAATGGACGTTAGGCCAGGAAGGCAATAAGTATGCACATTATTCCAATGATTATGCTAAATACCATGTATACCTGGCTACTTAAAGTAATCTAAAGCCCAGGGATGAAGGGAATTCCTGATAAAATAGTATAAACAATGCACTTACCACTTTGAAAACAATGTAAAGAACAGGTATCCCAAACCCCCACTAGACAAAGACGTGCAGATGAACTTTTACCTTCCCTCAGAAGAACAGCAAATAGACTTCACAGTTATGCCTAGAGCTCCAGGGGAATTTAGATACCTCCCCAATGTTCTGTAGATAACTCCACTGGGCGAGTAAAATCCTTCCCTTGCCAAACTGAAAAGGCTGGGGATGTCCACTAGGAGAAGTGATTCCAAGATTCAGTCTTCTCAGGACTATACAAACATAGTTTCAAAGGTTGTGGCTGAAGTGTCCCAGGCTTTAAGGTAAGTTGAAAATTACATGCAACTTGAATATCTCAGCTGGCAAGACTGAAAGAAATAAACGACCCCAAAGGGAGATACCTCAGAAAAGCTCAGATAAAACACTGCCAGGAAACTCAAGAAAGTCTGCTAATGCTCCTCCTATCCATCACCTTAACTCATGCTAGACAGGCTCCAAAAGGAAAACTGGGTATTGGTCCCCTAGAGTTAGTGTATGGAAACAGTTCCCTTTGAATGTGACACTTTCCCAGTATTTCTAGTACCCTGACCTGCCCAGATGTGGAAACTGAGAGAGCAATAACACAAATAATATGATTAGTGCAGGTGGTAACTGCTTTAAATTTGCAGTAGGTAAGGAGGCAGTGAGCAAGGAGGATCTCCCATCACCAGTACCTCACTGTAGCCCATGGTGCTGCCCAAAACCCCACCTCTTTTCCGTGCTAAGAAAAACCACAGCTTCTAGGAAACCAGAAGCAGCATCAGTCAAAACTAACCACTGTGGCTACAGACAGTATCCCCACTATGGAATTAAGCTCATTACAGTGTCATTATAATAAAATCATTGTGGCTGATTTTCCTACTCCCATCATGAACCTGAAACCATGACACTTTTGAATTTTGCAAAGAGTAAGGAAATAGGCAGTACTCAAACCCCACTCCAAACTCCATCCCTTGTGAATATTCAAATAAGCCCAACCCAGTAAGCCTCTAAATCATAAAATACGACAGCCCTGAACCTCATTGAGTATGGCTCTCTCAAGCATCCTACACTCCTCCTTGTATGCTTTTTCATTTGTGTGAAAAGAAACACTGCTTCCTTGCTGACTTTTACCTGTATCTCATCCCTAAGTATAGTACTCTTTCTTCATCTTTTTCTGGTTTTGGAATTAAGCTGATGCTGGCCTCATCAAAGGAGTTTGGAAGGATTCTCTCTCTCTCCCTTTCAATTGTTTTGAATGGTTTAAAAAGAATTGGAATTAGAAGTAATGCTTTGATTCATGGTGTTTACTTGGCATAAATATCCTACTATGACTAATTTAAACACCAACCTTATGCCAATGAACATGAAGGTGGCAAGAGATATGCACCAAGCTGCTATCAGCAACCTCAAGCACACCAGTATCATATCATATTAATATGTGCACACAATCTGCCTGCTTTCCAAGCAGGGCTCTTCCACCTGAAATATACTAATAGATCCACACGGTGTTTTCTGCAAAACACACACCCAGGTATATCCTGGATACACATACACCCTGAAGCATAAAATATCTACTCCTACCTAAATTTTTACAGACAAAACCCTACTTGCTCTGACTTCCCAAACACAATTCCTACAAATATATATATACACTCAAAGCATGCACCTAAATACAAACTTGAGCAAAGAACCCACTGACCATATACACACATTGAAAACCTTACACACAGGCTCTCTCAAATAATATAAGCAGTTGGGTCTCACACACAAAATACCAAAAATACTCACATGCAATCTTTTAATGTTCCTGGTACATTCCTGGGCAGCCTAGTATTCCCTCACCTGCCAACCAAAGAGCATAATTAGTGTTGGACAAATTGAAGGATCCTTCCTGTAAGTTCTGGAGGTGGGACTCAACCTCATATGCTGAGATCGAATTATCAAATTAGGACTGGGATTGCAGTGGATACTGTACAGCTAACAGTCCTAATGAATTTCCTTAGAGGAAAAAAAAAACATATTGAACCTCAGGATGGGCAGAAGAGGGAAATAGAGGGCTAAAAAGTATGCCTCTAAAAATTAGCGAGGGGAAATAGTTCATGAAAGACAACATCCTATTTCTAATGAAGGAAGAAAGGGACTACAGCCTAAAACCCTGTATGTCCCTGGATAACACTCCAATTCTTCCAGTAAATAAATCTGATGGGTCTTATAGACTAGTACAGGACTAGTACAGAGCCATCAACCTAAATTGTACAGGTTTGTCTCCCTGTGGTACCCAACCTTTCCACCCTCCTCAGTAAAATTTTCCATGACCACAAATTGTTTAGGTTGGTTGACTTAAAGGATGTTTTCTGGGCCTGCTCATTGGATCCAAAGAATAAAAACCTCTCTGCCTTCAAATAAGAAAATCCTCATATGGTTAAGATAGATAGATAGATAGATAGATAGATAGATAGATAGATAGATAGATGACTGTATTGTCCCAAGGGTTCATGGAGGCATAAAACATTTTGGCCAAGTTTTTTAAAAAGATAATTTTTAACAATGTCTTGCAAGCTGGTATATCCCTGCACCTGAACTCTGTTACAATATGTAGATGACCTCCTGATCTCAAGGGAAAAAAGCAGATGGCCACTATGGATCTGCTTAACTTTTTGGTAGAGTGGGGCGCTGCAAGTTTCTGGACATAACCTTCAGTGTGTGCACAGGGAAGTAAAGTATTTGGGGCATCTGATTAGTGACGAAAAGCCAACCTAAGCTGACAAGTCAGTCATGACATCCAACTAGGAATTAGGAACACAAACTTATTATTAAAATGAGCCGAGGCATTCGCATGACTGACACGACTCGACTGTAAGAAAAACACAAGTACTGCTTTGTTCTGTCTGCTCACAACATTCCCAAGTGCTCAGGATGTACGTAAGAACTGGAGACAGTTCCAGCACGAGCCTGTCGGTACCGGACAGGCTCGGGACTTTCCAATCCCGGGGAAGTCTGCCCAGCCTCTGCCTTATCAGGAGTGTAAGAGACAGTGACGGGACACACCGAGGTCCCCTGCGGGATGAAGGCCCCTCACGTCACGTTCAGGCATCGCCGGAGCACGGGGAGCGCCCGGCGGCAGCGCGGGCCCATGTCCGCGGTGCAGACGCTCGCGCCGCTGAGCTGCGCACGGAGGGCGCCGGGCCGCACAGGGCAGCGTGTCCTCACAGACCAGGGTGCGAGCGCCCCAGAACTGGCAGGTCTGGGGATTCACCACCTTTCCCCTGGGTTACAAACCCGGGACGCCGCCATTGGAGCGACGACCGTTGGCCGCTCGCTCTTCCTTGCGCCTGCGCGGCTTCTAGACGCTACCGCCCGCAACGCACTCTGGGAGACGTCCAAGGGCGATGCCTGCAGGCCGAGACCCCGCCCCCCAGGACAAGCGCATGCCCGCGGGGAGCGCGCTGAGGGATTCTGGGAAGTCGGCCAGGAGAGCGAGTGCTGAGTGGTCTGGGGAGCCCTCGAGGCCCCTCTGGCGGGTTCATGCGCCCTTCTGGAGCCCCCGTGACCGTCTCTCCTTTAACCGAGCGCGTCTGAAACTACCGCTCGTGAGTTTCTATGTGCAAACATGCCGTCCATGCACCTGAGCCCTCGGTGAAAGACTTCACAGCACTGCACCCTAAAGCAAGGTCTCCTGCAGTTGGGTCAAGCGCTTGTGTCCTCTTTGGACTGCAGATCTTGGATTCTTGAGAATGCCTTCCAGAAATACTACGTCCTTTCTTCCTAGCGCATCTGAGGTTCCAGTAAAGAACAGTCTGACACATACTTCTAGACCTGGGAAACAGGTTCAGGCTTCTGACTCCATTCCTAAGTTCTGTCGTATGGCATTAAGTCTACAAGCTAAATTTATTCAATATACAGATTTCCAATAAATATCAGCTCATTAATATTTTCATGTAAACCTTCTGTTACCTCTCTGATTAACACTTGACCTCTGAGCCACTTAGGTAGTGAAGGAATAATTTTTGCAACAATGAACCATGCCTTTCAAGTGTTTGAGTACAGTAATTGGCATCAACATCCCTGGATTATGAAGTTATTGCTTGAACACCATGTAAGGTTGCCCCTGATAAAAACAAAGCCCTGAGAAAAGTCTCAAAATCGTTTAATTTTTACAAGCCGCACTTCCATGTCATTTTTTTCATTCACCAAGATCATGCTTAAATTGCTCACATTTATTCTCCTGAACTCCCACCTTGACATGGTTGCACGGAGCACCTTGCAGAGAGGATAAACACAGGAGCATTAGCAGAAAGCTCACTTGGCAGTGCAGTGTAGCCTGGACTTGAATCAGCGCTCTGACATGGGATGCAGGTGTCCCGAGCTGGAGTTTACCCACTCTGCCACAATAACCACCTGTTTTCCCTTTCAGGAAAGGAAGCAGAGTATCAGACACGTAAGAAGGTTATTGTTCAATGTGAAGACGAGTCCCAGTCGGGAGGTACATGTGTACATTGTGATTGGCTAGGGTGCACGTGGATTCTAGACAAGGATTGGCTCCAGCCAACATTGTCCCACCCGCTGCCTGGCTCACATCTGCTTCTTCTTGGGTCTCCACTTTCCTCCATTGAGAGCATAACGGAGAAGGATCCCAGCTGGTCTCCATTTCCCTCAACCAATTCTGACCTGATCTGCTAGTAACTATGAAATTCTTGGAGACATCCCCTGACGGCATTGTCACTCACCATCCCCTGGCCCTTTTCAAACCCTCTGCAGCCATTACTGGCTGTGGCAAGCACAGGAAATTCAACATCTAATTAGAGTCCCATTCCCTGGAAACAGCTTCCTGAGTGGCTACAGGGACCACCAAGGCCCTGCAGCCGGGGCGGCCCACATGTGCCGTGTGGTTTCGGAGGTGGCCCTTTTAGGGGAAGCTCTGCCCACTGAGCAGGAGTTTCAAAATCATCCTCATAGTTTGCAGAGCCCTCGCTGGGGAGAGACTACTGTCCTGTGTTTTTATTTTCTTGTGCTAGGGTGAAAAGAAAGGGTTGTTTCTTTATAGAAGTGCCCATTAATTAAACCTTACGAAGAGATGAGGGCACAGTATTATGAACCTTCAGGCTTTATCTGGATCCTTGGGGTGCAGGCACTGCCTCTGCAGGACTCTCCTGACCTGCTGTTGAGTACTGAGGGGTGCAGAGCTGCTGAGGAGTCAGTCCTGGTTTAAGTCTAGGGAGTCAGCTGTGAGGTTGGCCAGGTGGTACAAGGATGTCCTGGGGAGACTCTCAAAGGCAGGGAGAGCTGTGTGTTCCACCCTGGGAGACAGGTGTTGTGGACTTGGTGAACTAGCGGGACGGGCTCTGGTGGATACTTCTCAACTGGAAGAACAGAGCCTGAAGTTCACTCAGGGACATTTACAAACTGCATCATTACCCCACCCCAATGACCCTCCATGTTCCCTCAATGACTAACAGGGAACCAGAGAGTCTCCCTCCAGACTTTAGGTTCCCCAGCTCCATTCACCCCTCTCCTTTGTCTCCACAGCATCTCCAGGGCTGGGAACAGCCATGATCCCACACCCAGGCACCTCCCCGTCTCTCGTCATGCTGCTGCCCTTTCCCCAACCAACTCACGGCCCTGCACCCCAGCCAAGCTGGGGGCAGCCCCCTCCGCCCCTCCTGAATGTGGCATTCCCTCCAGGCAGCCGCCTCGTACTGCCTACTGCTAACCCCAGCATGCCCACGGTGGCTGAAGATGGTGGCTGAGGCCCAAATGGGGCTGGGAATGTCCACCTATTACTCCAGTTGAGGACAGGAGGGCAGCCAGTGGAGTCCCTCCACTCTCAGACCTTAGTCTACAACCAAACCCATATCAGCCTGAATGCCCCAGGGGGGTTCTGTGGGGCAGGGCAGGACCCTGCTCCCATAGCAGTGCCTGGGTCTTCCCTGCAGGCAACAGTGCCTGCACCTACCATGGCGGGAACCCAGGCCAGTCAGGGGGGCTGGCCTCCGGGCCTCCCTCCTCCAGCTCCACCACCAGCTGCCCAGCTGGCCCCGATGGTCTTCCCAGTAAACAACGGGCCACCTTACAAGGGGCTGACAGGGAGCACATCCTGCTTACTCCCAAGGCCCAAGCCTCACCAGACAACCCCTGCAACTCCACCAGCACTACTATAACTTCCGGGGCTGGCAGCACTTCAAGGTCCTGGCCTGGAGACTCCTGCAGAGCCCTGAAACAGAAGCTCTGTCCTGCTTCCTCATGTGAGCACCCTCCCCTGGGGCCCAGAGCCTGTTCTGGGTGGAGAGGACTAATAGGTGGGCGAGTTCAGACCGTGTAGGGTGAATGAAGGAAGATCTTGAGGGCAAGGGGAGGGCTATGAGAAGCTTGGTTCTCCACAGTCTGTGACATGGTTTCAGGGCCTCTTCTTTTCTGGATCTTTATCCTCCTATGAGTGCAGCCAATCTGTGTTTTTTGATAATTTCCATGATAACATTTAGAAAACAAAGGTCAGAGGGGTCCTTGGATCACAAGAGTCATCGTTTGGGTTTCAGTCTCTGAGCCCACATAGCAATCCCTGCCTATGACCTATCATACACAGAGGGCCATAGCCCTGGGGATCTCTCATGAGGGCTATGATAAGGTACCTGGGAAGACCTTTACACACATCCCAACATCCCACCCTCATTGTTCTGGGGATTTCCAGGAAGACAGGAAGATAGCCTGGAACCCACACAGGGCCATGTTTGGACCTCAGAGGCCAAAGAGGCCAATATAGCCTATTATCACATTGATGTTCCATGTACAGGGGGGTGTTCTGGAGGCTTGAGAGTCCCCAGTGGAGAAGGATGTGACAGGGACAG